CCGACGATTTTCTGTCAAAAGTGCATAAGCTATGTTACGTATTTTTACATAAATGTCAATTTTCTGTCACAAGTGTNAGTAAAACAGGGCAATGTACCTGCCCGCACTAGTGATGTTTTATAGGTTGCTATAGTAAATCAAGACTGTGTCGCTTATTGTACCAGTGACATTTTATACGTAGCTCGCCGAATTTATAATGTTCATGAACATTTGTAATACAGTGCAACACAATACAGTATTGATAAGTTAACACTTTACTTGTACACTGTACAATATTTAATACATAGGCCCTGTCGATAAGGCGGAAATATTAAGTGTTAAATATATTTTTTATACGCTAAATAAACCCCGTAAAAAGTTGAGAAAACGTAAATATAAGCATTTTACTGTTTTGTATGGCATTTATGATCTTATTGAATGACACGCATTTAAACAAATCATTATGTTGTTTGCTTGCAAAGCTGTATCATAAATGCAATGCATAAACAGTTCAATACTTTAATAACAAATTACACAATAGCATTACATGTATTATACACGATTCTGTAAATCGGTATAATTCATTTGCAAATTGTCTTCACAATCAAAGCAAGTTACCATAAAGGCGTATACGACAAAACCTGCGCAACTGGTTACATTAATTATAACTTTGTTCAAAGTCGCATAATTTGGTTGATAAATCAGACCGTAATCGTCTAGTTGTTGATGTTGATCGCTTGGTAATATCTTACATACAGCAAAGCTGTCTTATGCACCAATAAGGTAATATCTTACCTGTGTCTTGTTTGTATCTATCTACACTTAGAAAGTTGTATCTAGATTTGCACCTTGAATATTAACGCTAGTGCGTGGTTTAGTATTGTTTTTCAATACACATACAGTATATCATTAAATCTGATATCGACCATTGTTGACCTCTGACTTCTGACATCAGCATGGCGTGTAACCTACACCGGACTTCCGCATAACGCGGATACATCACCAGCGGTGAATAGTCTCATCCTGTGCTGGTGGGCGATACTTTCTTCTTTCGGAAGCATCTAGCTGGTAAGGTATTCCGCGGTATACCTCCTACTTCCAGTAAGTTACATCTATATATTTATACTTTGAACGTTGAGATACTGAACGAAATATATGGTGAAGTTAATATAATTGTTTTTGTTTTAATACTGATATTTAAACGTGCGATCACATGTGTATATGTGTGTAACTTTTATCTATAAAGTACCTGTAATTGTGATAAAGGAGTTTTGGTCTATTGTGTTGTTTTTAACTTATGTCTAGTTAAACCCTATATTTGGATGAACTTGTCAGGCACCCAATGCTTATACATATGTTACTTATAAGTGCAAAGCGCGCATCTGATAAGTACGATTTCAATTCCCTTCTGAGATATATTTAAATGTCTGAATATCTACATACTGTTAAAACAATTGAGATATTTTTTAAACGTTGGCAAATAATCAGTTAACTGTTTTAGGGTTTTTTTCATGCACCATCTTTAAGACAAAATATCATAACGACCAAGTATATCGGTATATTGACTACCGTTAGAATCAATAATGACGTAACGTATGATACATCACCTGAACATTATATAAATGTGTGTTTGTAGGTTTGTCCTAGATAACTGTAAAATGAGTTAATTAGTGTTTTCGTTAATCTTTCAAGCGAACTTTGAAAGTAATCTAAAACATTTTCGTCCATTGACAACATAGATTTATAGTAAATAAAAGAGGAATTATAAAGGGGCTGGTCGGGGAAAATAATGTCATATTTGCTAAAATGGCATACACATGTTTAAAATACCTTTTTATGAAATATGCCGATTCAAATTTTGCTGAAATTCACCCTATAAGAGTAAAAAATATAATTATATTAAAGAAGTCCTAAATCGTCACCTGGCAGTTTAAAACTCTCAATTGACCCAGATCAGTGATGTAATTTTACCTAACGCGTCATCAACCAGGCCAAATGTAAACATCGCGGCGAAAGAAAAAGATGCATGCAAAAGTCATGACAGGCACGATGTATCAATACCGTTATATATAACAACAACACATAAGTAGGAATACTACACTTGCATCATACATGACCTTTGAAAACAATTATTTACGTATAGTATTTCTGTCTTTTCCGCTAGTTGAGGCCGACATGGCACATGACGGCGTGCTACTGTTGTTATCTTCACTGCCTCACTTTCGAAACAACCATGTGACATATATAAATAGGAATGCGCTAAATTTACGCGGGGCTTCCCCGAGATTTTAATGGTCAAAACTGGACATTGCAAGCAGTACTCGACCATCATATTGCCGTGGTATAACTTTTGGAAGGCCAGAGAACGCATTTAGACCCATTTATTTTGTATCCCCCCCCCCCCCCCGACCAGTCCCTTTAACGTTTGCCTCCTTATTCCCTACACTTTGGATATTTTTTTTAATTGTTTTGCTTCAGTTTTTGTATCTGTCCGCCAGTTTGATATTTGAAATGACAAATGCAATATGTTACAAATGAGTTAAACAAGTTTTCACATAAGAAGTGGTTCATGTACATAAATAATATAAGCATGAAATGTGCCGTAAACATTGATACAATTTTAATTTGATATGACGTCATATTTGTTAAAAATTAGAGGAATTTCCAGTTCATTTTAGATTTATGACAAGAGTGTGATAGTTCTTAATTCAAGCGAATCTGTGGTACGCTACATTTATATATCGTCACATATTTTATTAATCTGATATGTAATGGAATTCATGCAATATTCCGTTTTGACACGAATTCCCAAATATCAACATTTAGACTCTGAGTTGATTTTCTTTGTAACGTCAGCATTCGGTTTAAAGTCATGATGTTACAATTTAAACGTCTTTATTTCTTACACAGTTTATATAACGAGTGTTACGGTACATATAACGGGGTAACTGCTTTTAGAAGTTATGATCATAAAGATTTGTAAGAACTACACATCAAATGTACTTAAACATAATAAGATATACAATATAACTATTTTACTCTAATTTGTCTAGGAAACCATGAGGTTCAGCACTGTAGTAGTGCCCCCCGTTATCCTTCTGCTGTGTGTGGCTGGTGGGTATGGCGCTAGTTACAATAGCCAGTACGGGGGAAAAGGAGAAAGTTATAATAACCAGTATGGAGGATATGAAGTTAGTTACAGTGACCAGTATGGAGGATATGGAGCTGGAAACAACCTTTACAGCGGAAGTCAATACGGCGGTCAGGGCTACGGGCTATATGGGCCTAGCCTAAATAACATGAATTCATATTCACCTATCTACTTGCCTCCAGAACCACCGGTATCTACACTGTACAGGGAACGTGTGCTAATCTGTAAGTATAGTTTTGTTAGAAACTTATCAAATATAGTTCTCGTGTTTTACATATGGCGGCATATATATATACAGTTCGCACTTTGTACAACAACAAACAAAACATCAAACCTTTTCACGATCTCAATTGATGTAAAATAGAACCCGAAATTTGTTTTCATGATGAATGAAGAAATGACTATATAAGTGAAAAAATTCAGATAAGTATGATTTTTTGTCTTGCAGTTTTAGCCATACTTCTTATTCCCATACTGGGGTCTTCTACCTTAGGATAGAGGATGTGGTCTGTCGGGAAAATCCAAAATGGACAATGATGCTGTTTTAGGTATGTACAGGTCTTTTTTTGCCTCGATCTATATGAAAAATAAACATATTACACACTTCAACACATTGCACCAAAATTTCAACAAAACGTATTAGTATTTATTGAAGAATATTATAAAAATAAATTTCCTATAGTGTGTTGTTATGATCGTAATCACACTGCACTGTCACAATGAAAACACTAACTATATTACATCATGTGATTATTTTTTATCTGCTTTCAGACTTTTCCTGGTTTCAAGAAAGGATGCGCCGTCATCAAAACTTTAAATTAAAACCAAGATTTTGTGTCAATAAAAATAGTTTGCTGCAAAAATTATGCCATAATTGTTTGATTTATTTCCGCACAATCATTTACTTTGTAAAAATAAATAAAGCTTTTCTGATAATTCTAGGTAACGACTGAAATCATATAATAGTGCTGCAGATTCTAAATAACTATTAGAACCAAGGCGGCCGGGGTTCGATTCCCCGACCGGACATGAAAAGGCATGAGTTCACCAGCCCGACTCTTCGGTTTTCTCTGGATAATCTGGTTTCCTCCCTTATTAGGACAATGACGCACGCTAACATCCGGGCCAACACTAGTTATTAATATAGGATGAAATCACTTGTTTTTAATTGTTGTAAAATAAATAAAGTTTAGATAATGAAAGTTTAAGTATTATGAATGAATATTCGAAAAAGTTCTAGGTACGGATTTTAAATTAATTGTTGTGAAGCTAACTTTACTTAAAACGACTGAGATATCAGTTGATAATCATTTTCCTCGTAACATGTAGGTTCAAGTGTTTAAAGCCAAAAGTTCCTGAAATGTACACGATGTCATTTGAAATGGATTTTTGATATCAATGAGGGAATATATTTTTGTATGAATGCAATGATTCTTAAAATTAACAAAATGGTTGCTACATGCAAAATATAAAGCATAAAAAGTCCTACAAAACTTTTCGAGTAGAAAATAACACAGAAAAGGTACGAAACAATTTATGAAAATAATACTTTGACTGGTTAGTAGTTCATTAATAACTTGTATGTTGGTATGGGAGAATATGAACGTCATACTTGACTTGCTTGTAATTTGATGATCACTTCGATTGGTGGAAAAATAAGTGACGTCATCAATATTTATAAATACATCGTCAATATTTGTGGAATCGGGTAAAGTAAATGGCATTGATTATTAGATCGTACGAATAAACAAAACGGATATTAGCACCTGTATTCCACGAGCCTAAAATAAAGTTTGTACCTAATTGGTATGACGTTATCGGGGTTGGTAAGTTTTACATGTTCTGTGTGTGTTTCTGTGCGGGTTATCGGGGTTGGTAAGTTTTACATCTTCTGTGTGTGTTTCTGTGCGTGTTATCGAGGTCGGTAAGTTTTACATGTTCTGTGTGTTTCTGTGCGTGTTATCGGGGTCGTTAAGTTTTACATGTTATGTGTGTGTTTCTGTGCGTGTTATCAGGGGTGGTAAGTTTTACAGGTTCTGTGTGTGTTTCTGTGCGTGTTATCGGGGTTGGTAAGTTTTATATGTTCTGTGTGTGTTTCTGTGCGTGATATCAGGGTTGGTAAGTTTTACATGTTCTGTGTGTTTCTGTGCGTGTTATCGGGGTCGGTAAGTTTTACATGTTCTTTGTGTGTTTCTGTGCGTGTTGCCGGGGTCGGTAAGTTTTACATGTTCTTTGTGTGTTTCTGTGCGTGTTACCGGGGTCGGTAAGTTTTACATGTTCTTTGTGTGTTTCTGTGCGTGTTACCGGGGTCGGTAAGTTTTACATGTTCTGTGTGTTTCTGTGCGTGTTATCGGGGGTGGGAAGTTTTACATGTTCTGTGTGTGTTTCTGTGCGGGTTATCGGGGTTGGTAAGTTTTACATGTTATGTGTGTGTTTCTGTGCGTGTTATCGAGGTCGGGAAGTTTTACATGTTCTGTGTGTGTTTCTGTGCGGGTTATCGGGGTTGGTAAGTTTTACATGTTATGTGTGTGTTTCTGTGCGTGTTATCGCGGTCGGTGAGTTTTACATGTTCTGTGTGTGTTTCTGTGCATATCCATCCCTGTGTTATAGTGTTTTTCTTCCCTGGAAACTTTCAATCCCTGAATAACAGGGATTTGTGTAGATGCGTACTTTGTATTTTCCCGTTTTGGGAATCTGAGTAAGGTACTATCTAGCGGGTACACAGCTTGAAATATCCTAAAAATGTTGTACAATATATTTTAAAATTGATATAATTAGACAATTGAAGAAGTAAAAAATAAAAATCGCTGTTTCGTCCTCCTAGCATTCATCAATGATGCTAGGGGCCAAAAAGGTTGAAAATCCTTATTGGTATCAACTGCTGTTGAAATAGAAGAGGAGGTTCGTAAAAATCTCTTATTTTTTTAAGTTTCAAAATTAAGAGAATTAGAAGCTAATTTCAAAATAAATGATTAGTGAAATGTGTATTTTCTGAACCGTGCAATTAATAACTAAAAATATGTTAGTGTGGCTATGAAGGTTAAGGCAAACCTCGGGAACCAGCAGATCAACGTAACACACATACACATATGATTGAGAAAATGCATAAAAATATTACTGACATCATTTTAAGACACTGTTGTAACCATGTTTAACCATTTGCCATACATTGCATATTAAATTCTGCACTCGAAAGTACTTACTGATGAGGCCATATTTCCCCTCGCAGTCTTATTTGGTTAAATAATTAAGTTTATAATACATTAAGTTCGAATGCAATGCGAATTAGAAAAGATAATTTGATCGAAGGTTGTATATAAGTATTTTCTTTGAAAAGCTGTATGTCCTTGTGTCGTCCTATTAAAACTTCACGAATCAGTATATCATATTTACGGATATGTTGATCAGGTACCGTAACTCTTGTTACATACTTCATTAGTATTATCGTATATACCCATCCTAGTCAGGTCGGCAACTTTGATAATATTCAAAGACTATGTCAAAATATCATGATTTCTGTGATGATAGTCGACTCTTGAAGAACAAACGTACAACACAATGTTTTGTGATGATAGTCGACTCCTAATTAACAAACGTAAAACACAAGGTTCTCATGACTTCTGTGCTGATATTCGACTCCTGAAGAACAAACTACAACACAAGGTTATCATGACTTCTGTGCTGATAGTCGACTCCTGAAGAACAAACTTACAGCACAAGGTTATCATGACTTTTGTGCTGATAGTCGACTCCTGAAGAACAAACTTACAGCACAAGGTTATCATGACTTTTGTGCTGACAGTCGACTCATGAAGAACAAACTTACAGCACAAGGTTATCATGACTTATGTGCTGACAGTCGACTCATGAAGAACAAAAGTACAGCACAAGGTTTTTGGAGTAGCAGGTTGATAAAGACTATAATTTATGGTCGCCATTATGACTTTATTTAGAAACATGTTTTCTTTGCTTTATTTGAACATCAGTCACTTGGGTTACAGGCACAAGTAGGCTCTCAGTAACGGAGTACTCAGTGTGGACACGTGACATCACTTGGATTACACGCACAAGTATGCTCTCATTAACGGAATACTCAGTGTGGACACGTGACATCCCTTGTATTTGATCTAAATGTACGTGTCGGATGTCGTCGATGAAACAAAAGACGTTTGAATTATGGTTTGGTTGACACTTAGGTATTCGTCTGTTGTTTGGTTGGTCATTCGACAGGTATGCTGTTCGATTTAAATAATGTTTTGAAGAGAAAGTTTGGACAAGATTAACGATTGTTTTGAATGATTTCAAAACTCTTCCTTGGTCAAGTTTTGTTACGGATAAATTATAATTGCAAGAGAAATATTACCCTACAGTAAACTCGATTATCCTACAGTAATCTTCATTACCGTAGAGATTTTCTCCATTATACTAGAGTGATCTCCATTTCCTTACATTAATATCCATAACCTTGGAGTGATATCCAACATCAATATTCCACCGTTCCATCCTGCAATACAATCTCATAGTTATATCCCATACTTATATCGCCATCCAGGTATAGTGGTCCTGTATATATCTGGACTCACCTGTTGCAATATCCGCCTATTGCAGACACAGAAATAAATGACAAAAATGCATTTGTCATCGTATCGAAAGAGTATATCAATCGTTAATTATCTGCCAACTTTCTGGCACAACAAACATTGATTACTTTTATATCAAATCGACATTAACTATGGACGCCATCAGAATGTGTTTGGTTGTATAGAATTAAACAAAGAAACATACAACTTCTTCCATTAAATAGTCGTACCATTATTTAAAACAATAAAGTATTTGATAATACAGTAATCAAATGCTTTCACGAAGTTCAAATTGTTGAAATATACTTGGAAAAATATTTGCAATGATTTTGTTCTCCTTTGGCTGTTAACAATAAACAGGCATACATTTAAACCTTCCTTAATAATAACAAAATGAATTCCACGGAGTGTGACATCAAGAAACACATTCCTCCTTTTTTTAAATGTATATGTATTGAATTGCATTGAAATGGGCATAAAAAGAAATTCGTTTCAATGGTACATTATCGTGCCAGAAACATCTAAATGATATTTATAATAAGACAGATTATTGACTGCACATGGATAAAACATAAATGTTTCGTTTTCATAGAGTGATTGCTCATACAACGTCAATATTCCTTTGTGGTCATTTATAAGAGAAATATTTACCAATAAACATTTTCAATAGTTTTACAAAATATATATGCTATTACAATCATTTAATCTTTCTTATGAATGAACGGAATCCTTCTATCATTATTTCAGTACTATTCTTGTTCTGTTTTTGTAACTGTGCTTCAACTGAAAATGCTCGTAGATAATCGCGCATTATATTTTTTTTTTGTTTTTTTTTTTTGTATCTTATTTTGCTTTTTTCGTTTAAGCAGTTTTCCAACTTTTAAATGTTTGACATCGTGGCCTAAACAGTTAAAGCTAAGGCTGTTATATGACCGTAGGTCGTTATGTTGTACAGTTACAAACAATATCAAACGTGTTCAGATACAATCAAAGTACAAAAACTGCTTCCATGCTTTATTAACAAAGATTGCAAACATGTAATGCGGGGAGAAACACCGATGGGTCTTTCGTAACAGCAATGAAATCTTGTGCTCAAACTAATTATCTGAAAGAAAAAATCGGACAAACGTATTATATTATGTATTTTTGTTACTAAGATTAAAAAGGCCAGATAAGCTTTGTTGTTTTATTTGCAAATGGTACGTGGTACGTGTATATACAATGTATCTTAACATTTAAATAAACAACATTATATTTGATATCACTGACATTTTTAATTTCTATATGATTGTTTATAGGTATGATCTAACTCAGACTTACCAAATTGATCCGATAGCCTCCAATCTCATAGTCACTCGTGATAAACCTTGACGTTCGGACTGAATCTATCTATTAGTGCTGTTATTGTACAGCAGGGAAAACAACAGGATACATCCGACTACAAATGCCAGTTATAGCAAAGCATATTATAAATATATAACTTATACATGTTTAGGTTTATATACGGTGTTTTAATTGCGATATGCTTGTCTGCCAGTACTAAGAAATTTACCTTTAAAAATATATAGTTCACATTAAAGAAAATTTACAATAAAGATCTTCATAAATTCTCAAACAATATGTCATCTTTGGCAAAAAATAAATAAATATGAAGACGGAAGCCTGCAACCAATACGTTAGCAGCTCCACTGCTGTGTATATAATATTTGATTGTAAGCCAATTTATAACCTCGATCGAAATATCCACCAAAGATGGGTCAATTTAAAAACAGGATACTATTTAGATATTTTCAAATATCTATTGATAGGCTTGAGAGTCGCAGCATACAGTTTGATAATACTCACGGATAAGCCACAGGATATCACTAGTACCTCTGTCGCTGTCATAGGCCGCCATGAGGGCTGACAGAGGAGGACCTGTGGACATAGGGTAAGGAACGTACAAAGCCTTGTTTTGCATGTCGTGGTCTTTTCCTCCGTAACCTTTTCCTCCCCCATATCCGCTACCATAACCTCCGTACCCTTTTCCGTACCCGTCATAACCTCCGTAATATCCATGTCTATTCTCGTGCATGTCATATCCTCCTTCATATCCACCGTACCCTTTGTCAATTCCATATGCCCCATACTCGCCATCCACAAGACAACAGCCAATGGTCGCGAGAAGGGTCAAGGACACGAGGGATCTGATAGTGATCCTCATGCTGGTCCTTGTACTTCAATGAAAATTAAAAAAGGTTAAAAGGCAAATGTAAATATTCCTAATATAAACAAACGGACTAAATTATATCTTTAAGTTGATATACAAAGACAATCAAAATAGCCAAAAACACACTTATTCACGGTGAAAAAATAGAAATTGCTGTAACCATAGAAAGCGTTTCAACAATACGTTAAATGGAACTCATGTAGCACTGTCATGATTTCTACCTCCAAAAGGAGTTAAATTTTACCCTATAACACTTCATAATGTAAGTGAGTTAGTGATCCTGTTATATTTTAATGGCTATGTTTCAATTGTTATTAGATCATTTTAACAGACTTTTTTTATACATTACCGTTGTGAAAATTGATATATAAAAATTAATTAGAGCATTGGTATCAAATACAAGTTAATAACCTCTCAAATTAGACAAGATTTATATAATTATGTATGCTTACCTTTTTACTGTCCTGTAAACAGTGTTGATGAAAGGTCAGTATATTTGCAGGTGTATATACTATACTCTTTACCTCAGCTCTCACAAATCCTGGTGGTCATTTCCGCTAACTGTCTGATAGTACACCATCATATGGGGTACGCAGCCCAGTACAAATAACAGTCGTAGTTCACACCGGACGCGAACGCTTACCAGAATACACCCGGACCAGCCCAGTACAAATAACAGTCGTAGTTCACACCGGACGCGAACGCTTACCAGAATACACCCGGACACCGTCGTTAGGCAGCAGGTGGTATCCTATATATGTTACGCAATATAAAGGTAAAATTCAAACGCATCGACTATGTATGGTGATCTTGTTCGGACACTGCCAAATATTTACTGATCCTGATGCCTGATGTTATTTTGAAAAAAAAACCCATTAAAATATATACTATGGCTGATTTAGAGCATCAGCACCTTTTTAGTTCCTTTCAAATTGTTTTACATATAATTTATATGGATAGAACAGTCAAATTCATCGAATAACAGGCAAGCCTATATAACTTCTCTCTATGGGAGTCAAAACTTATTTGATAATGAAATTGATTAAATTAATAAGCTACTATTAACAAAGAAATGCAACAATAACACGCACAACAAATACATAACACTTCTTAATATAGACAATAACAATATTAGAGAGTTGTAGAACAACAACAATAACAATAACATACTTGCTCAAATTAGGACTCACCCATCAATCAGCTTTACTGCAGATAAATTATATTTATGATAATGAAAATAAAAAGTTGTGAAAAATTCACAGACAATATGGTCTGTGTGATTTGTTTAGCATTATAATATAATAAAATAATATAATATAAACGCCAAAAATGGATTTTTGGGAAATTTGCGAATTGTTCTGGGCCAGAAGTCATAATCACTTCAGTTTGAGTTGTGGTAGTGTACAAAGTGAAAACATCAATTAATCTGATAGAAGGAGCTTTTTATAAAGAAATGTCATTCTCTGGATGGTTGGATATTTTCCCAGCATAAGCCTAGCCACTATTACTACTTACTTGAGGTTAAATATTGTGTGTGAGCTAGACACCACTTCTTTCTTTTAACGACCAAATTAAATGAAAACCAAACAAAATGAGAAAGAAGTTCTACTTAGTATTAAAGATATTCAGACCAATACAACTTATTCATGTTTTACTGCGCATAATCTCATATGATCTTATGGAAACCTTGACCTATTTTGATTTAAGTGACCGTGCATAGCTTATGCGGAATTGGCCTGAAGAAACTTAACGCATTTCTTAACCACTAGACCATAAATCATTGCCTATAGGCCCGGATATATCGCTTGTTTAACATTAACCAACACTCGCAATACCGCCCCAACACAGATCAGTTCAACCACAGTCAGGGGTTTATATAGAACTCACCCAATAATCCATATATTGTCATAAGGTTGGTTATCCGACGCCATCTTTATCTCTCATTCCGACTCGCTGAAAATTTTGTTACTTTACCCCTCTATCAACGTATCATTCTACACTATCCACATTGAATTCTGATAATCTCGCTAATGTTGCCAATATCAATGAAATCAAAGACCCTGAAGTAATAAGTGAAGTCATTGAAAAACTCATGAATAACAGCCTATTCAAGGAGTCATTACTATCCAGCCTATGGATACCCCAGCTCCATCGCCAGATAGCCGAGCTTGAGTCTCGGCTAAACGACATGGAACAGTACTCCCGCCGTAACTGTCTCAAATTCCGGGCATCCCCGAGTCCAACCACGAGGACACCGATTCGCTTGTTATTAATTCATGTATTGAACGACTTGGAGTCCATATCGACCTAAACAATATAAGTAGGTCGCATCCGGTCGTCACTACACCCCCGCGATATCATCGTCCGGTTCCTCTCCTACAGAATCAGAGCCCAGATATACGAAGCTAGGTTCTGTCTCTTCAAGAAACCTGTCGCTGATGACCAGCCTCCAGCTGAAACCCAGCCCTCCTCGGTCATGAACCCATCTACCACCTCGCCCAAATATCTTGCTCACCCAGCTCTACAGAAACTTTTTCTTAATGAGGCCCTCACCAGTCAGCGTGCCAAGGTTTACGCCAAGGCACGGTTTCTCAAGAGCAGGAAACTCATCAGCAGCACCTGGACCACAGACGGCAGGATTGTAATTCGTAGCAACACCGGAGAAAAAGCTACTGTCACTCCCCTGTCCGAATTATCCTCATACCCTGATCCACCTATCCGCCAAAATCGAACTGGCTCCAAACCCTCATCTGCTGAATTCCTCACTCCTAGACGTACTTACATCAAATACAGAAACCAGTCCACCGCCAGTACAGCTGTTTCCAACCTGTTCACCCCTCTGCCAAAGGAATAAAGTGTTTACCATGTGTTTACCATTATCTCCCAATTTATACATATATTAATTGATATTCAGTCGATCTAGAAGATACTAGGGAGAAATGAGTATTTTTGCTAACAGCATTTTTATTGTACTACATTATCTTATATTGATATACACAACCAGAGACATACCATCCACCTCCCCTCCATGTGCGTCATGTATATACATATATTTATATGAAAAACAGGTATATTTTGTGTACAGACGTACATGTACCTTGATTTTTCTGAAAGGTATGCATGAGTTGTAATTTCTAGTCTGTATCCATTTTTCTCTCTCTCATATATCCAAACATGCATGACACATATGTCCATGCCCATGGCATGATGAGTGTGTATATTACATGTTTTTGAGAAGTTTATCAAACCAATCTAGCTAAAATTAATAAATCTGAACTTATGCTAAGTCTACATCCTTGATCATATCAATCCATAGATCCCGATCATTTCTATGATAAACCATGGCCACAACCCATAAGAATGTACCCCCCCCCCCTTCCTAAGTGTTAGGCAATATTATCTGTATACTAAATGAATCTTTTATCAATGCCAGATGACTTTCGGCAACCCAAAGGCATATATAGTAGTTTCAACGTACACTATGGTATATATATATAGTACTGACAACCCCATATATGTCAACCTTACTTTAGAATACCAGTCTACATATGGTGTGTTACTTTATCTGTCCAATTCTCCTTGGTATCTACTTATTAGATACAAGATACATTTCCTATCCAGGTTACCGAATAGTAATCAATGCTAATCCTGATTGTCGACCAATAGTAGTAGCAAACTCTTTCATAATCACTGTATAAGAGCTGACATATCCCTTGCATTAGTGTAACTGACATTCTTCTGTTTTGACTAGCACATATGTCCTGCCATCCTTGCAACAATACTAGATCAAGTCTCATGTGTACAGCAACTACTTTTAGTGTCAATCTTACCTTATTAATCATTAAATATTAGTAAGGTTATCTAACCTCTCTCAATATGTATCATGCATTTTCTCAGTTTTCCCTCGTGGTTAAATCCATTGTTTTTATATAATCTGGTGTAATATCCTTGCACAATCCTCATTAAGCTCATTACCAGGAAAATGTACTCGATAACTTATTCACATACTACTTTAGGCGTATAATGTTTAAGCCACAAAGATAGTGTACAAAGTCTTTATCATAGAAATGTTTGTATTAAATATGATTGTATTATAGTATAAAAAGCTTCCGTATAACCGCGAGCTTTGTTACACCATGTGTTGCGTCTGATGGAGGAACCTTACGATTCCTCCACCACTATAGATATCATGTATGTATTTTTGTTACCAACTGTGTATCCCTCTTAGAAACCCTATATCCCCTTCCGAAACCCCTGCTTAACAATCATATGCCAGCCATGGATGTATTCTTGCCGGATCACAGACTCGAGTGCCTTTTGAAACAGCTCCAGATCTTAATCTTTGTCATTTTTGACAATGGGTAAGTTTTCTCTTGTTTCAATATTAAGGGCACTTGAGTCTGTTCATTTATTTTCATCAAGTGTTTCATCCCTATATTTATATCGCCAGGTATGTATGCTGCCAAAACAATGCCACCCTTCTTACCTAAACAACAGCCTAATAACTTTAATGTTAAGTAGTTATGTAGATTGGAATAACCTATTATTTATATACACTATCATGCTCGTGTTATTGACAGTATCGTCTGATATAGAGGAAAACCCTGGTCCCTTAGGAAATCTAGATATTGTCCATTTGAATTATCGATCTATACGTACTAAAACTGACTTAAATGAAGCTGAACTAAATAACAATGACATTATCTTTATCACTGAATCGCATGTTAAACCTGAAATCCCAAACTGTGATATTATTATTGATTCTCATTCGATAAATCTCCATAGAAAAGACAGACTTAATAGACAGGGAGGTGGTGTACGGGTTTATTATAAAGATTCTGTTTTAACCAAGGGAGACATGATCTTGAAATAGATGATATTGAGCTACTATGGTTGGAAGTAACTATCAGCAAACACGAAACTTGATGGCATACTTGAAAAAGCATCAGACCTTTCTCTAGATATTTTATTAGTAGGGGACATTAATGTTAATCTTCTTTCTCTTCAACCAACTTCCCACCTATCAAGACTTCTTTCTAAATTTAACTTATAAATCTAATAAACGAACCCACACGTATTACACCAGAAAGCTCTAGTTGCATCGACTTTGTATTTACAAACAATACAAATATTATAAGAGGTACACAAGTAGGCGATCCATTTTGTAGCGATCATTCTCCAGTACATATTAGTATATCATATTGCGTATTTAAGCAAAACTCTTATATAAAGAAAATCTGGCAATATAACGCTGCTGATTTTAATCAAATGAATGAATGTCTACTGAATATGGATTGGCAACAACTAGCTAACCAATCCAATTTAAATGAATTTAGTATCATCATAAATAATGCAATCACCGAGTAGATGGAAAGATATACACCATGTAAAACTATTACAGTAAGACCAAATGATAAATCTTGGATGAACCATGACATCAGAACTAAAATGAGGCAAAGAAATAGAATTCATAAAAAGGCAAAAGTAACCAATAACCCTGATCACTGGACGCGCTTTGGAATAATTAGGAATTTAGTAATCAGCCTTATTCGAGAAGCAAAATCTAATTTCATTGTTAAACTTCAAAATTCTCTTGATGATAAAAATATACCCCCTGATAAATGGTGGAAAATAGCTAAAACCGTTTTAAAATTTAACAATAAGTCATCCACTTCCCCCCCCCCCTGAAATCTTTTATCACCCGAGTGAAAAAGCTGCCTGTCTAAATAAATGTAAATACTTCACTTCTATCTCATCTTCATCTAACAACCTTGAACTTCCTGATGTCCTAACTTCAATTAGTCCGGCTTTAGACCAGGTAAAGAAGTTAGGTTTGTATTTTGTGATATAAGCAAGGCCTTTGATCGGGTTTGGCATACAGGTCTTGTTAAAATATTAAGTAATTATGAAATCAAAGGTAAATTATTATCTTGGATCCATAATTACCTTTCAAATAGGAAATTACTGATCTTGTTTCAAGTAAAGTAAAACTCGTTGCTGATGATACCTCCCTATATGTCATTGTTGATAACAATCCTGATCAGTCTGCACAACTTCTTACAGATGATTTAAAACATATTAGTGAATGGGCTAAACTATGGGATGTAAATTTCAATCAAACAAAAACAAAATCTGCATTATTCTCCTGGAAAAAAGAAGTTGCTTTACCACCAATTTTATTTCAAAATGATGTAATTTCTAATGAATCTACTCATAAACACTTGGTACCTGGGAATCCCATATACAAACTATTTATGAAAAAGCATATACTAGAATAAATATACTACGCTGTTTGAAATATAAACTTAGCAGAGAAACTCTTATAAAAATATATTTTGCATTCATAAGACCTTTACTTGAATATGCTGATGTAATTTGGAATAATTGTACAACCCAACTAAAAAATTTACTAGAATCTATCCACCTGGAAGCAGCAAGAATTATAACAGGGCTGAGAAGAGGAACATCACATCACTTACTTTATAGGGAATTAGGGTGGGAACCATTAGAAATTCGTCGGAAAAATCATCAATTGATATTAATGTACAAAATACTACATGGCCATGCACCTTTATACTTGCAAGAATCAATCATCCCTTTTATTAACAATAATGAAGCAAATATACATTCATTGCGTAGAAATAGAATATTTAGCCCTCCACTCTGTAGATCAAACAACTACTATCATAGTTTTTTCCTTCAATGCTCCGCGAGTTTAATAAACTCTCACCTACTACAGTACAAGCAACCTCCCTTAACATTTTTAAGAAACTTATAAACATGTCAAATATCAGTGAAGAGGAAGATGTGAGCGTTTCAAATGTATTCAAAAATAAAGGATCATGGAAGGGTAATATCATACTTTGTCAGCTTAGAATGTAGCAACTTAAATTTTGACCTATATATTGATCATTTAAAAGATAATCCTATGTGTTCTTGTGATTTAAACCACGAAACTGTCTCACATTTTTTTCTTCACTGTCCTCTGTTTTCAGTCCAAAGAGCATTACTAAAAAATGAACTTGAACTTATTGGAAAACATAACCATTTTCATCTCACCAACTTATTATATGGCTGTCAAACATGTAATGAAGGCGTAAATATGGAAATTCTTAGCTCTATTCTAAAATATATAGTTAAAACTAAATTATTTGTTGAATATCGAGTATAATACCAGGCAACTTGACACATTTTGAATTAATATATATACACATGTATATATATTTGTAGATAATAACACTTATTTATAAAAACAACATCCATTCGTACGGGAGTGCATCTCTGGCTGGTTATCATGATATTGTTATGCTTTCCTTTTATATTCTCCCATACTACTTATATCTTTGATTTTTAGTGTACATACTTAAGATCTCCATTTTTTTCATATATGTACTCAAATGCATTACTGTGAATTATACCGCAATAATATTTACTCTGGATCCTGTACAGTGTTCAGTTGAAGACCTAAACGTAACACAAGGACTGTGCGGTCTTCAATCTGATATTAAAGCTTGTATACTATATGTATATGCGGTCTAATACCAATATATATATTTTACCTACATTGTATACTGCAGACTAAATCCAATTAATACACTGTTATATGGCAGACACTAATTACCAAATATAATGGATACACAAATATATTATTACAAAATAAAATGTATGTTGATTAAATTTTTCATGTACCAGAAATTAAATCATCGAGCCAATTCCTACATATTCATATTGTATCCGTTACTAAATAGTTATGCTTATATCATATTATTAATGAACAGTACTGTACATTTATTTTTGTAGTGACATATTGTCTTAAACATAAAAATAAAGAGAGAAAAAAGAGAGAAAAAAACGGTTCTAACGCCAAATATGTTACTGATTTACAATGACCAATTTTTGACAGTAAGCAAAATCTTATTATTATAAAATCAATCCATTATGTCCATATACCTACCATCAATGGAGAGGACTTATATAGGCTATAAGCCTGTTGTCCAATCCTTTTGACAGTGTAACATTCTTCTATGTCAATAAAATATGTTGAAATCAACATAAGGCTGGTTATCATAGTAATTGTTATATGGATATATGATTACTAAACAAAAAGAAGCCTGATTAACTTTTTCGAATCTTATATAAACATTGATGTTATTTATTGGTATTTATACAGCATGTGTGTATATCTAAAGCAGCATTAGTTATGCTGTGTTGGCTGTCATGAGGAAATTGATATACCAAGCTCGAACACAAAACGGTGATCAATGATCGAGTAATGCTTTAACATGGGTATATATAGCCTATCTTAACAATTTACTCTATTCGTATGGTGTTTAATTAAAAATGTATTGTCAAATCATTCTCAATATCACAAATATAGAACTCTGCAGTTACCAAGTCATTTAATGAAAACAATATTTGTAAATCTGACAAGTAAAAGGCCCGATTCAAATACAAATCAACATATTACTTTTGTAATTAGATAACCCCATTAAAATGTATATAGACATAAACATCCCTAATGAGGAAACCCGTTATAGTCTGAAACACCATGTTTTACCTCATTGGCTGTGATATTTCCTGTTGTTTTGGTGTCTACTTGATTGATGGTGTTTATAAGTAGCGGATTTGTTATTATGTTGATTGATAGTGATTTGTTTTATCGAAATAATTTTTAAAAAACCGGAATTGAGAATTGATATTAATAGGAATAGTTTCAATTTTCTTCGATACATGATACTTACTTCATACTCGTGCATGGGATATGCCTATGTGAATCAATGATAACGTATATTCCTGCTACGGGATATTCCTCTTCACAGCAAGTAAAAGAGAGATAAAGCCCTGCATGACATATGTATTTAAATGAACTTTAGATAAATATTCAGTTGGGTCGCCAGAGAGATTGTCATGTTGTTATAAGTCTAGTGAACTATGTTCACGAAGGCTTCAGCATTAATGCCTTACCATTGATTACATTTACCTCACGATGTTTCTTTTTATAGGATTTGTTGAACCTTAGTGTAGAAAAGCTTAGCTGATAGTTATCTCCTTCAAATAGTATGAAATAAGATTATCTAGATCAGGTAAACAAGACAACTTGATATTTTTTACACTATGCTTGCTTGCCCTTTAAGATTCCAAACTTCACCAAAGTTTGGTCTAAATATGCATTTGTGTCTCTTTCAAACAGTAAAAATGTCTTTTACACCGTATATTTCTCGACCAACATTTTCGAAAATATATAAGCTTTAACCATATCTCCTATTAAAGAACTAAGCTGCCAAGGCAAACCCTAACGCTTATTTCTAATACTCCTTTCCAATCTCCAACACTGTAACAAAAGGCGAAAGCTCACTTCTCTCCTACCTCCCTTATCTCGAACTTTACGACCAAATACGTTCATTTATCTCTTCTTCTACTCGTTTTTTCTGAACAGATATTAATATTTTCGCACGATCATTAGTATCAGTATATGTGAAAGTGACATAAAAATAAAAATATATCTTTTACAGGTTATTTAAATTCAAAATTTATTTCGAAGATACAAATAGAGTTCATTTTTGTCTGTAGTTATCTTATTTTAAGCGCCTTCCACATTAATCCAACGAAAATCGCTAGTAAATCACGCCTACAACATGAACTGATACCATGCACTTAACGCATACTAAAAAAGGCGAAATCAGCAATTCAATCTTGATAAAACAAACAGATAAAACAAATACATTTATAGAAACAAATGCTTTATTGAAAAACCAATATACAGTAAAACAGGAAACACACAGGGGTCTTTGGCTACAGTCAAGGAGTCTTGCGCACAAAAGGGAAACAAATCTGAAATCTAAAACAAACAAAAAATCTTTGACATTGTTATTTTCAGTACATCATATATCCTACTATAGCCTCCAATGGTAAATTTGTTAATTCTGTTTAAATCATCCATGAATAAAAATATCTGTTCATTTGTATGTTAACATGGTAACGGTAAGTGATATCTGAGCATACACACCCGTCGTAATCCGATATTTAAGTGGTGACTTATCCAGAATTGTTGTTTCTTAACAGGAGCAGAAGCAAAATGGCACCTCCAACTGAAAGTAAACGTATATTAGTAAATCGTTCTCTCTGAATATTAAATATCATTAATGTTTTACGCTATTTGTTGTCACGTTATCATGTTACGTTATATGATATATATTTATGTGATAGCATTTTCGAACTATGATATTTATACACTAAGGAGATCTAAATTATTAGTAATGAAAGATGAACGTAAAACACACTATTTGTTTGCGGCTATAACAGTCATAATAGATTGGGTAGGTCAGAAACGAATTACACTGCACCATCAACCTGTTTTATCAAGTTCCTATTAATGATGCTAGACGCCAAAATGTAAAAATCCAAATCGGGCTTCTGTTTAATTAGAAGGGTTGCGTGCCAATATGTGAAAACAACCCAATATGTGAAAACAGGAAAAACCATATTAAATTCATTAATTACTGTGTTTAAATTGCTTATTATTCGAATTAACTCTAATATGAACCATCCCAACTAATTAAATCCAAAAATTAGCCTTTTTTTCTCTCACTTTTTACGAATTGGATTGTACATGAAAGGACAAATCATTTCAACCCAATATGTGAAAACATGAAAATATGTTTTAAATTCCTAAGTTAATATCTATTAGTTACTTATTATTCGATGTAACTCTTATGTAAAACAATTCACACTAGTTAGATACGGTGTGAATACTTAAAACCCCTTTATGATAGAATTTCGCAAAAACAACACATAGAGGTGCTTGTTAATTTCGAATCAATAATGGTTAAAATATTATATTATGTACCGTGTCACTACACACAAGAGAAAGCTGAAAACTTACACAGAAGGAATGTATTGTCACCTCCGGCTGCGGAGGCTCCCGCGACAGCACCCGGAGCGGGACCTACTGGCGTAGGATATGGGATGTACACCTCCCGTTGGTACGTGTCATAACCTTTCCCTCCGTATCCTTTTCCATATCCCTGGCCATATCCCCCTCCGTATCCTTTTCCATATCCCTGGCCATATCCCCCTCCGTATCCTTTTCCATATCCCTGGCCATATCCCCCTCCGTAGCCACCATACATTCCAACATCATTCATGATATATCCTCCTCCTCCTCCATATCCACCATATCCACCTCCATATCCCCCATACCCGCCTCCAAGGCAGCAGCCGAGGGTCACGATAAGGGTCAAGGTCGAAAGGGTAAAGGTAAGATAGTTCATGTTGATCCTGAAAGTATTATTTGGTTGCATAATTACTAGAAAATATTTAAGACTGTTTGTCATTTCATTGAAAAGAAACTGTGAAGGAATTCCAGTTAACTTGTGTTAATAATCTTGTCTAACCAGTTCAAATGTTTTATTTCATTCACTAACTTTACTTTCAAATATTGTCATGCCAAAATAAAAATCATATACAAAATGAAAAACGAAATACAAGCAAAGTCTTGCCCTAGACTTACAAATAGTAAGTCTAAAACTAAATGCCAGTAACGTAAATTTTAGTTACAATCGTTCCACCATATTGACACAGTTTTATCACAAATCTTGCTTACCTGTTCATATGCGCCAGTGATGAGGGGATGCAATATCGAAAATCAAGCTGGTATTTATACACACTTTCTCCGGTGAACTTTCAGATACACCCAGGAAATGTGGACCTGTAATTACAACATCGCATAACAACAAGTAATAGTCTTATGACCCATCGATCAAAGTAGTGAGTATTGTGTAATTGTTACGACGTCAATATAGATACACAGAATCGAATGGTACCCTGTACTCGACTAGTTTCCCTATGACAGAAATATCGTACCGGGGTATGAATTGACCGGGTACGTCGTTGCGTAAGGAATACCACGTAACTTTACATGAAGCATGCTTAGATTGAATGTTTCAATGCAAGTAAAAAAAAAAAATGATTATTTTTCTCTTCTACTTTTTAGACTGATTATGGTAACTTTTCCAGGGACTACTTCTTCGTGCTATCGTTTCTAAGGTTGCGCCGACATTTTAGTTCGTGCTTTGCTTTGTAACGAGTAAAAGCCCCCTTTGTTATAATTGACAATTGTTTGTCAGGAAATAACAATGTAATGAATAAATAATCGTATTTTCAACAGTAAGTGGAGTCCCTAAGGGAATCCCGTGGGATTTTTTTGAAGGAAGCTAGAGGTGGTGATTTTCTGAAAAGTTATGGTGTCCTAAATAAAAAAAAAAAGTTTGTGAAGATTCTGACAACCGCGTCTGGTCAATTTGATGACGTCATCAAAATGGCGGCCATAGCAACAATATTTTGCCATAAAATTCTGGCATAATAAATACATTTAAGTAGATATTTCACAAAATTTGGTTTTATTAAGAGTTCAAATTTTGGTTTCCTGATATAACATAATTGATTATAGCGTTTTTCTTCACCGGATGTGGTAAAATTAATTTTTTTCCAGCTTCCATTGTAGCAACCTGATTATAAATATAGAATCATGCTGTTGGGATGACATGGTGTTTAACATCTGATTAACACATTAAGGCATTTACAGACTGGTCGGTTTAAGAGTGCTGTTTGACTGATCACTGATACTATAAAATACTAGTATTTTTTAACATTCATATGTATGACAATAACCTTAACAGTGAACAATGAATTATGATCAACAATCTAATTATGTCTATAAACTTTATATTGCTTTGCGGACATTAATGAAATACTGTTTCACGGTCTTAAAAATGAAATAACCTGCATATAGCGTGCATTGATTAGACATTGGACACCAGTTCATTCAATCACACATGTGTAAGTTAGCGTTTGCTTATTTAATCTATTATACATTCTGTCTGACTAGTTTTGTATGGTGATTTATCACCATGTGATTAAAAAGTGAAAATCAATTTAATTGATATATTATAATCATATGTGTATACCTGGTGAAGAGGGAAACGTTTTGTTCCACATTTTTGACAGAAGATGCATACATCTTTCTCATATGGTTTTGTTGAGGATCTTGTGAAACTTTTGTTGAGATTGGTGTCCTCATCACACGCTACACCTCGTCGTTTAGAGATGTCTTTTCTAAATCGTTCTTTCGCTCTGTTGATGAGGGTTTTATTTACTGTGTTCTGATAACACGAACAATGCCACGTTGCATTATTATCAAACAGAGAATACGACGTTTCTGATGATAGTCTGGAAAATACTTCAGGGTATATACAATCAGAATAGCCCGCTCTTTCTCTGATAACATCCAACACTTTTTCATGGGTTTTAGATGCTTCAATCAACGGTTCTTAAGTTTTACTTTGACATATTATGCAAGCTATATAGTCCACCAAACGTTGTTGTTTTGATATTAGCAGATTGTCTTCAAATAGCCTTCTTTTTGACTAAAATAAAAAATAATTATAACATAATAACGTTGTTACACCTTTTAAATAATGTTTATTATTTAGATATAAAATATAGAGGTAAAAGAAGTTTTTTTAAAAATCCGGAATTTTGTTATCCCTGACCGACATTGGTTTTAATCTTACAACCTCCCACAATATTCGCTAACGCCGACTTACGAGGCATTATTACACATCTTAGTGTTCTGTATATGAAACAAACTATTACTAATAAAGCTTATTTAACATGTTTAACATGTAAAATACATGCATGGAGACTTAACTTACTGAAATTATTTACATTAACATGATATCTGATGACAGCAAAACACCGAACAATGAACAAAAACACTATACTTTTGTCTTATGTAAAACCAGAAATTGAAATTTACAAAATACTTCTCATAAATATATTACCATAGTGTCTGCTGAGATGAGCAAACTGGAGAACAATACGTAGAAAAGCATTCCTCTTCTGGATTTTCATATTTTCCCGGAGAATAACTTTGACCAGAAGTAATAAAAATTATCGACCGAAACACGGGACACACAGTTCCGGAATTAAAATCCAAAAAATGTTGTTATTTCGTTTATGACCAGTTTAATTTGCCTGAGGCTCGTTACTGTGCGACATATTGATGAAAAGAAACAATAGATCCCTTCGTGTATATAATTGTCAGGTTTATAGTCGTTTGTTTTACGTTTAATCTTATAATTTTTACACAAATTCCAGTCCTTAATTGATTAAAATAACCACAAAGTTGCATATAAATGTTTTAAGAAAGCGCAAACTTTTTTTAAATATGCATATATGTGTTTATTAAATATTTAAATGTCAGTTTTTGTCACAACACCTAAACGTTGGTAACTTACGCAGAAAGATTGGTGAATTTAAATAAAAGCAGAATATCTCCGCGGCTATTTTGATGACGTCATAAAACCGACGTGACGCGCATACGCGACTGACAACAAGGTACCTTGCTTCCTTCAAAAAATGCCCACGGGAGCAAAATTTCTGCCCTTAGGGACTCCCCTACTTACTCTGCCTTGGTAATTTAATGTTCCGATCAGATTAACTGACTTCAGTAAAACAAGCATATTAGTCTGTGAATAAGGATACTAAAATTCTCATTTTATTATTAAATATTGTCAAAACAATACATTAATAATGATTAATGTGATCTATCATGAAGGATTTAAACAATTTATTTTCATCAATGTTTCCTGCTAGAAATTTTTCAGGATGAACTCCGTTATCGCTTTTTAAATATTCTGTTTGAGTGATTACCCTTTTTCCTACAACCGGCTACAAGGGTTAGTGCAAAAAGCATCAAATAGTGGGATATAAACGAATCGCCAAAACGTTTTCTCAACTAGTCACTTTATTTTATTTTCCTTTTTTTCATCAAGATGCAAAATTCGCAACTGTTTACGTGAACACTTGCGTTATAAACATATCAAACTAATTACAACAGAAAATATAATATATTTTAAGGAAATATATATTCCATATCGCACTCAAAACTCAGTTTAAGAGTGAACCAAAAATAACAAATACAAACCAACTTCCAATTTACGGAAAATATGCTGTCTTGTTTCAAAGCTTCTGATCCTTGTTCCTCCAAAATTACCGATTGTAGCTTCACCGCGTGACCCTGACCAGAAAGCTACCATCACCTTCCATCCCCAACCAACACCTTTCCCAGTCGCAATCCCCCTCCCCCAGTCACATACCTTCCTTCACAAATTCCATGATCCGCGTCTTTATATTGAAACATAGGTAACGAATTAACTAGGGAAGTTAAATAAATTGATGTATGGTTGCGGATGCTCTATATATTAGGTCTCCATGTTAGTATAATTCCACATCACCGGCAACTGTTCAAAACACCCTCCTTCAGACTAACTTTCCCAGTACTAGAATGCATACGTGTAAAATTAAACTGTAGTAAGGTTCTTAAAGATATATGGAACGCTACGTCTGTTTATATTAAGTTGGGTTAACATATCATTATGTTCGGTTGACATGTCATTATGTTGGTTGGACATGTCGTTATGCTGGGTGGACATGTCGTCATGATTGGTTAACTTGTCATGACGTTCGGTTGACATGTCATTTTATTGAGTGGATATGTCGTTATATTTGGTTGAAACACCATGATGTTTGGTTAACATATCATGATGTTGTGGTGACATGTCATTATGTTGGGTTGACATGTCATTATGTTTTTGGGTGGACATGTCGTTGTTCGCTTGACATGTCATTATGTTGGGTGAACATGTCGTTATGTGGGGTTGACATGTTATGATGTTCGGTTGACAAATCATTATGTTGGGTTAACATGACATGATGTTGGGTTGACATGTCATTATGTTGAGTGGAAATGTCGTTATGTCGTGTTGACATATCAAGATGTTCGGTTAGCATATTATGAATTTGGGTTAACATGTCATTATGTTTAGTTGACATCCCGTGATGTTCGGTTGACATGTCATTATGTTGGGCTAACATGTCATTATGTTGGGTTGACATGTCGTTGTTGGGTTGACATGTCATTATGTTGGGTTGACATGTCGTTGTTGGGTTGACATGCCATTATGCTGGGTGGACATGCTGTAATGCTAGGTGGACATGTTGTTATGTTAGGCTGACATGTCATGGTGTTGAGTTAGAACTGTATAACGTTGATCTATTATAGTATGATGTCCAGTGGTCTCTCCATGTAAAAAATGTACTTGCCTTAACGTCCCATAGTGTTTAGTCGAAAAAGTGTAATGTCGAGTAGTCTGGTTATGTCGCTAAGTGGTCCCGTAATGGTTTTGAGTTGAAACAGCATCGTGTTATGATGTTAAGTATTCATGTTAAAATGTTGAGTATCCATGCTATGTTGTTAAGTGATTTCATCCTATTGTTAAGTGGTCGCGTAATGTTGTTGAGTTGAAACAGCATCGTGTTGAGTATTCATGGTATGGTGTTGAGTATTCATGGTATGATGTTGAGTGGTCGCGTAAAGTTGTTGAGTTGAAACAGCATCGTGTTGAGTATTCATGGTATGGTGTTGAGTATTCATGGTATGGTGTTAAGTATTCATGGTATATTGTTGAGTGGTCGCGTAATGTTGTTGAGTTGAAACAGCATCGTGGTGAGTATTCATGGTATGGTGTTGAGTATTCATGCTATGTTGTTGAGTGGTCGCGTAATGTTATTGAGTTGAAACAGCATCGTGTTGAGTATTCATGGGATGGTGTTGAGTATTCATGGTATGGTGTTGAGTATACATGG